CCCCCCCCCGCCTCTTCTGTCTCCCCCAGTCTCCCACTTTCCTGCCTCCCCTCTTCCTCCCTCTGCCTCTGTACCTCCTTTCTCTCTCTCTCTCTCTCCTGTCTCTCCTTAACCTGCGCCCTCTCCTTTCTCGGTGGGGTCTCGTCTCCCAAGCAGTCTCCGCGTCCCCTCCCCCGCTCCAGCCCTTTGTTTCCCGGCGGAGTATTTCCTGGGTTGCCGTATGTCTCTGTCTCCGCATCTCTCCTCGCCCCGCCTCCTACAAGCCAGGATCCGCCCCGCCCGCAGTCTCTCCTCCCCTTCCTCTCCGCCGCCCCTCTGCCCCATAGGTGCTTGGGGACCCACCTTCTACCCGGCTCCCGTCGGCCACCTCTCCCGGCCGGGTCTCGGGCTCCGCGGGTGGCCGGCGCCCCCCGCCGCCCCCCAAGCCCGCTCCCGGGGAGTGGGGGCAGGTGGGCGGGCACTATTGTTGTCGGAGCCGGCGCCAGATTCCTCAGCCGCGCTCGGGGTGGGACCGGCAGGGTTTGGGGGGGGGTAAGGTGGGGGGAGCGGTGATTTGAGCTCGGAGCAGCTGGTCTTCGCGACTCGCTCCCTCCTTCGCGCTCTCGCTCTCCGCCGCCGCCCGCAGGGCTGCGGGGCTCGGTGGCATCTCCCGGGCGCGGCCCGCTGTCCTCGCCCCTGCCTCCGGGCCGCCCCCGCCCCTGGCGCCGCTCGCTTTCCCCCACCCGGACTCCCCCATGTATGACGACTCCTACGTGCCCGGGTTTGAGGACTCGGAGGCGGTGAGTGCCCACGGGGAGGGTGGGGGTGGGGAAGTTGGGGTGACACCTCATCTCCCTTGGACCCTTACCCCAGTTCAGGACTTTGAAAAACGCCTCTGCGGCGGGGCAGGGCGTGTAGGAGGGCGCTCCAGGAAAGTGGGGAGATGGGTTTTCATGCCAGAGGCTCCCCAGTGCCCCCGTCCTAGAGCAAGGGGCATTGGGTGAGTGCCAAGAGGGGCCAGCGTGGGGGAAAGGCTCAGAGCAGGTGGCTCCACAGCCCAGGACAGAAGGGTGGAGGGAGGAGGGGCCGGAGGCTGAGGGCACAGAGGCTTTAGAGAGGCCTCACGCAACGTCTGGAGTTCCCAAGGGAGGATTTATGGGGTCTGAACACAACAGCTACGGGAGAAGCCGGGGCCCTTGCAGAGGGGGACAATCCAGACCTCCTGTGCCTCAAGTAAAGGACAAATTAGGGAGCCTGGAGAACAGCAGAGAATCCGATACCAGCCTCTTCAGACAGACGGATCATAAAACTTGAGGACCTCCATTATCCCCTTCTGCTGTCCATTCCTGAGCATTGCCTTATCTCCTCACCCTGCCTCCGGCCCAGCTTCTCTCCCAGGCTGAAAACTGGGCACCCAGCACATGGATGAGCCAGCTGACTGAGCCCCATCCATTCCACTCCTGCTGAGGCATCCTCAGAGCAGCGGGCATCCTGAGCTCCTGCTCAGCATGGAGGGCCTGGGGATGGAGAGGAAGCTCTTTGCTCAGAGAACCAGGCAGCTGATAAATATTTAATTCTCCTCTTTGCTTTTATCTCCTGACCCACTGAGACAAATCAGCTCATTAGGCAGTGATTCCCGGAGCTCAGAGTGCAGGGAGAGTGCCTGGAAAGATGGGGCAAGGATGGGCAGCAGCAGCTCAGTCCCTTCTCTCAAATATCCTACAGGAAGACCTCCTTATGAGAGCAACTAGATGGCTTAGAAGGAGTCCCTGATAGGTATGGAGGGTAGGGCACTCCAGAGTCGAAAGGGGAGTGTTGGAGTCTTCTCCCATCTCTTGCTGCGAAGTCCAGGATAGATGAGTCTTAGGGCTCAGAATAGGCAGCTGTCAGTCCTTTCCTGGGACTGGGCTCCTGCTGGGGCCCAGTTCCCCATTGATTGGGCCTCTGGGGCTAATTACATTGCGGCTAGAGCAGATGATTTTCAAGGCTGTGGTGAACACCTCTTTCTGACAGTTGAAGGGACAGCTGGCACGGCCCAGGGTGCCAAGGTGAGCTTGAGAATGAACCTCTCTGTGGGGCTGGAGGGCCGTAGAAGGTTCTTCCTATCTCTGGTTCAGAAGGCTAGGACTGTTGCAAGGTGAAGCCTGACGTGTGGATGGTGTTGGGGGCAGCCTGCTAACACATCGCTCGCTCCCCACCATTCTCTGGTTCCTGGATTACCCTCCCCCACTTCCCTTTCTCTTGCCTGGCTCCTTGCTCTCCCCAGGGCCCCCTCTGAAGCAGTAGGAGGGAAATCAGGCTCTAAATAAATCCAACGGCTCATCTCCCTCCTCTCCTTCCCCCGTGCCAGGCAAGAGTGGAGCTGCAGCCTGCCCACACACTCACCAGGCAGGGGGGCACCACCAGGGCACTGTGCCAACTCCTGGCAGCTCCCAAGTACTGAGGCTCTGGCTGTTTGGGCATAACAGGGCTGGGGGAGGCAAGACCCCAGAGTATGCTTGGCAGGGCAGCCCTGTTCCCTGAGTGATGGGTGAGCTCTGAGGACTTGGGAATAACGGAGAGGGGATTTCAGTCTGAGCATGACTCACTAAACATTTAGGGAGAGATCCTGTCATTCCCGTCCTGGGGTGAGAGGCCAGGTAACCCAGGTGCCCCAGGCAGGGACACAAAGATGACTAAATTAGGCTGAGATCCTGGAGAACAGAGGGTAAAGGTCAGACTCCTCTCCCAGCACAGGTCTGGGCAACTAGGAGGCATCTGGTGTATACTTATCAAAGTGAGTGGTCATCCTGCCTTGCCTCCTGCCTCCTAGCCTGTTAGCCCCTATTTACTTCAGATAGCCATTTCCCACAGAGGTGTCTCCTGTGCCCCAGGCCCCTGGAAGGAGGTCCCCCACTCGACTGACAGTGCAAAGGTTCTTCCTGGGGCTCAGCTGCTCTTTATCCTGCAGCCAAGCCAGCCTTATTTGGTTCTCAAGAGAGATGGGGAACATTCTCTGTAATATGCAGGACTTTCCCTCCTTGTGCTATCTTCATGCCTTGGGCCTACCACAGACCTTGTCTTTAGCTTATGCTCTAGGACCTGGGCTGACATCAGTCTGACCAGTCCTCTTGCCCATGGCGGGGCTGGGGCAGGTGCGTGAGTTTGTCTTCCCCACCAAGAATCTGGCCTCCACTGCCTTCATGCACAGTAGGCTTGAAGGAATGTTCCTCAGCCTGAGAACATTCGACTAAACACACATACACATACACATTCCCACACGGACCCTTTAGGCTTCTGCCTTATCTCTGCCACCTGCCCCTCAGAACTGATGGAAGTGTCACTTTCAGACTTCTGCGCATAAAGAGGGGAAACTGAAGCAGGAAACAAAAGACTCCCTTTTCCCTAGACTGAGGGGGAAACCCAGCCATCCTGACTTCTGTCCTCCTGCCCTAAGGTCCAGCTTCCTTTGTTCAGTTGTGCATCTCCCCTCATGGCCTTGAAGGTGAGCTCGGCAACCCTCCAAATGCACCTTCGTTGCCCAAAGGCCCTTCCAGTGGACAGGACTCAGACACTCTCCTGGCTCAGGTTACCAAAGACCCTCTCCCTGCATCCCCAGGGTTGCTCCTGGCTGGGTTGCCTGGCACCACCTCAGCCTTCCTCCAGGGCTGATATCCCCTTGGGCAAGGGGTGGGGAGATGTAGGCTAGGTGGTAGGTGTGGCCCCGCCTCACCCGGGCTTAGGGAGATAGCTTTGTGTCTGCCTTGTTTGCTGCCCACACCTGGCCAGTTGTCCCAGCAGGTGTGAGAGGAAAGAAAGTGGGGGTGGGGAGAGTAGAGAGGGAGTAACTTTCTGGAGTTGGGAGCCCTGTGGCCTCCTCTTCACCCTGGAAGAGTAGGGACTGGAGGAGATGGGATCTAAGGGGGTGGGCGGCTATATCCTGACACTCAGGACCAGTGCCTTGCCAACCAGTGTCTCCTGACTGTTCCTGGCTGGCTGTACTCCTCCCAGGCATTTTAAGGAAATAATTTCCAAGCTGCTTTGCCGGCTGATGTGAACAAGAGGGCTGGGTCTTTAGATTCCGAAGATTCCAAATCATCTCCAATATATCATCTTCACTACATCTCACTTCCCTCTGCCTCACAGGACATGGTCAAGGGGAGAAAAGGGAGGAAGGAGGGAAGGGAAAGCTCTATTCGAGGCTGCAGTATTAATAGGCTTGGGGGGAGGGGCCCAGATCATAGCACATATGGGTTGGGCCAGCTTTTCTGCAGCCCCAGAGGCACTGGGGCCCTTCTTGGGGAGACAGGAGGGACTGGCGGGCCCAGCCACCTCCGTGGAGCTGGAGAGGCTGTGGTTAGTGGAGGCACCACTGTAGGGTTCGGAGGTGCCTCTCTAGTGCCCTTCACACCTGAGCCCACGGGTCACAGCCTCTCCCCCATGCCAGGGTTCAGCTGGCTCCTATACCAGCCGCCCATCTCTGGACTCAGACGTATCCCTGGAGGAGGACCGGGAGAGTGCCCGGCGTGAAGTGGAGAGCCAGGCTCAGCAGCAGCTTGAAAGGGCCAAGGTATCATCTTGCCGGCTGAGGGCAGGACAGGCCAGACTGGGTGGAAACTTGTGCTAGGTCCTAAGTCTCAAGGGGTCAATGGGCAGGATGTGTGTGAGTGTGAAAGGGTGTGTGTGTGGATGGGCAGACTGATGGGGCCTCCACCCTCTGCTGATGGGGCACTGAAACTGGAAGGGGTGCTCTGAGGCTCCCCTCATTTGCACCAATGGTCAAATTCTCCAGCACAAACCTGTGGCGTTTGCTGTGAGGACCAATGTCAGCTACTGTGGTGTGCTGGATGAGGAATGCCCAGTCCAGGGCTCTGGAGTCAACTTTGAGGCCAAAGATTTCCTGCACATTAAAGAGGTGACCACCCCCCTCCAAATAGAAGCCACTTAATCTCTCTGCTTTTGCCCCAGTTCCCATTCCTCTTGCTTCGGTCCTCATTTATAAACAAGTTCCCCAAGCTCCTCAACTCTTATGCTTAACACACCCCCATAAAACCCTCATATCCAAGACCTAATCTTCAGGGTCTCCATCCTCCTAAGGCCTGGCTTGGGCCTCAGTCTCCATATCTGTAAAAGTAAGCCATTAGATTAGTTGCATCTTAGGTTCCCTGTGACAGCTGTGATGCCTCACGCTGGTCTTGGGGGTCTCAAACCTGGCTGCCCTTCCCTCTGGCACCTTCTCCTGCCCCCCTCCCCTTGCGCTGCCTTCCTCAGACCCGCTCTCCCAATGCCTCCCTGGCTACTTCACGTTGAAGAGCCAGGACTGAGGCCTGGGTCACCTCCTCTCACTGCCCCTTCCGCTCCACCCCACCCCCAGAAGTACAGCAATGACTGGTGGATCGGGCGGCTAGTGAAAGAGGGTGGGGACATCGCCTTCATCCCCAGCCCCCAGCGCCTCGAGAGCATCCGGCTCAAGCAGGAGCAGAAGGCCAGGTGAGAGCAGGGCTGTGACTCAATAAGCATACACCCCAGACGTGTGCACGTTACCCACAGTCCGCATCACCACACAAGCACACATATCCCCCCCACAGAAATATGCACACTCACATCTAGCGTATGCATTCACAAATGCACACACATCAAAGCTCACACACACAAATGCTCCCATCACATGCACTTCCCTCACTAGCTAAAATGTGAGGAGATGTATACAACTATTAAATACTGTCTAGAACAGACACACAAAGACGCTTATTGACCTCCCTTTCTGCTCTTAGGAGATCTGGGAACCCATCCAGCCTGAGTGACATTGGCAACCGACGCTCCCCTCCTCCATCTCTAGGTAGCCTCCCCTCAACCCACCTGTCTTGGGTAGGTGGGTAACTCAGACACAGGGGGAAGGGAGAGTCTCCCAGGTGAACAGTGTGGGAAGGGGTTGGAGCTGGGAGAAGCCCAGGGTCTCCCCTGGGGACGGGAATACCGTGCCCCCAGGGCCTTTCCCCGCTTCACCAACTTTAATCTTTTATTTCCTTTTCCAAAAAGCCAAGCAGAAGCAAAAGCAGGTGAGTCAAGGAAGGGACTGGGGCTTGGGGGGCTCATGGCTTCTGGCTGTGGGGACAGGTTTCTGGGCAGTCATTGTTGGAGGGCCAAGAAAACACAGAGGGGAGGGGGCCCAGAACTTCTGAATCTGCCCCACCCCAGTCAGGTGAAGGGCAGGCCACACAGCCATGACTTTGCCTGAACTCAGGTCAATTCTGCAGGCGGAACACATTCCCCCCTATGATGTGGTGCCCTCCATGCGGCCTGTGGTGCTGGTGGGACCCTCTCTGAAAGGTTATGAGGTGAGAAGAGGTCCCTGACCCCAGAGTTGCCTCTACCAAACCTGCCACAGGAAGGGCCCAGGGACAGTGGGAGGGGATGTTTCCCCCCTCCCCATCCCCCAAGGTCTGGGTGTGGAGGGGCTGGGCTCCATGGCCGCACCTGGGGATGCTGCCCCCCTCCAAGACAGCCCCCAGTCAGTTCCATGCCTGTCCCCTCACCCCTCCCACCCAGGTCACAGACATGATGCAGAAGGCTCTCTTCGACTTCCTCAAACATAGGTTTGATGGCAGGTAAGCTGCCCTGGCCTGCGGAGGCATGAGAACCAGGGAGAAATCATTGTCTCCTTCCAGATGCCTGTAGCAAGGGCTTCTCTAAAGTGAAGATTGGTAGGACCTGGGTAGGGAGGGGCCTAGGCTTGAAATTTAAAGGTGGGTTGTGCTTCTCCATGCCCACCCCAGAATCTCCATCACCCGAGTCACAGCGGACCTCTCACTGGCAAAGCGATCTGTGCTCAACAATCCTGGCAAAAGGACCATCATTGAGCGTTCCTCTGCCCGCTCCAGCATTGGTGAGAGGTCCCCATTCCTG